GAGGTGCTGGGTTCGATCCTCAGCACCACACAAAAATAAACAAATAAACTAAAGGCATTCTGTCCATCTACAACTACAAAAAAATTTTAAAAAATAATGTGAAAAGATAACTGACATATTGCCCAGGCTGGTCCGAAATTCCTGGACTCAACAATCCTTCTACCTCAACCACAGTTTGAGTTTAATTTTTTGTACAGAGGATTGAACCCATGTGCACTTATTAGGATTCTTGAGAGAAAGAGAACCAATAGGAATGAATTACAGTAGATGGGGTAGAGAGAGAAGATGGGAGGGGAGGGGAGGGGGGATAGTAGAGGATAGGGAAGGTAGCAGAATACAACAGTTACTAATAGGGCATTATGTAAAAATGTGGATGTGTAACCGATGTGATTCTGCAATCTGTATTTGGGGTAAAAATTGGAAATTCATAACCCACTTGAATCTAATGTATGAAATATGATATGTCAAGAGCTTTGTAATGTTTTGAACAACCAATTTAAAAAAAGAGAGAACCGATAGGAGATAATTAGGAGTAATTCCTCAAAAGAAATCTCTGAGGAGATGGGAGAAGGAGAGAGAGTGGTATGATGGGGATTTCTCATGGGATTTTTCAAATTTTTATTTTTATTTTTTATTTTGATATTGGGAATAAAACCCAGGGGCACTTCACCACTTAATCACATCCCCAGCCCTTTTTGGGGTCTCACTAAATTGCTTAGGGCCTTGCTAAGTTGCTGAGGCTGGCTTTGAACTTGTGATCCTCCTGCCTTAGCCTCCTCTCATGGGATTCTGAAGACCAATAAGTCCTACAATCTTCCATCAAAAAGCTGGAGACCCAGGAAATCCAGTGCTCCAATTCAAATTCAAAGGCCTCAGAACCAGGAGAGCTAATGGCCTAAATCCCAGAATGAATACAGGATAAGCTGAGATTCCCCCAGCTCCATCAGTGAAGCAGAAAAGAAGGGTTGAATTCATTTGTGTTCTGCCTTTTGTTCTGTTCAGGACTCAACTGATTAGATGATGCCCACCTCCTCTGGGGAGATGATCTATGTTCCTGAACACACCAATTCAATTGGGAATTTCATCCAGAAACATCCAGAAATAATGTTTAGCAAACCTGGGCATCCCCTGATTCAGTCAAGTTGATATATAAAATTAAGTATTACATGTGATATAACCAAAATAGGCAAATGACTAGAAAACAAATTCATAGTTACCAGAGGGAGGAGAATGAGGAATGGGTATTTCTAAGGTGATGACAAAGTTGAAACTAAAGAGAGCTGGTAGTTGCAAAACATTGTAAGTACACTAAATACCATTGAATGGTATGTTCAGCTGGGTGCATGCCTGTAATCCCAGCAGCTCAGGAGGCTGAGGTAGGAGGACGGCAGTTTTGAAGTCAACCTCAGCAACTTAGTGAGACCCAAAGCATTTTAGTGAGATGCTGTCTCAAAATACACACACACAAACACACACACACACACACACACACACACACATATGAAAAAAAAAGGGCTGGGGATGTGGCTCAATGGTTAAGTGCATGTAAATTCAATCCTCTGTCCAAAAATTAAAAAGTATATTACATGGATTTTACCTCCAATTTTTTAATTGTAGGGAAAAAAAGTAGTCATGGGGTACATCAGCACATCACTTAATCCAGAAAGTCAGGTGTAGATCAATTAAGAGAGGTTTTTCTAATACATTTATACCCAGCTATGAAGCCAGATTGAATTTCCCAGTGAGAGTGTAGAGAACTGTCTACTGAATCCCAAAGAAGTGTTTCCTCTCTTGCCTAAACAATTTCATCCTCCCTTAATTGAGAAAATTATCCTCAATGTTGAAGAAAACAAGGCCCTTCCGACTCCTGGGCCAGAACTAGAATCCAAATCTAGCATGTCCTGAGGAGGGGGACAAAAAGCAGACAGAAATAGGAAAGAGTAGGTCTTCCAGAAGAAAAAAAAAAATCGCAGGAAGTTGCTATTTTGTTTAGTGGAAAAACTGGGGACTATTTATGGAGGTGGATTCAGAGGGTACTTAACTAATAAAAGCCTGGCTATAATTTTAGATCAAAATGAACTTATTGATTTGAGTATATTTACTGGCAATTCTGCCTCCAGTGTGGTTCCTCTGACAGCTGGCAGCTGTTATTCTAGCAATCTGAAGTGTGGGTTTATGCAGACCCGAATACCACACTGGCCCATTGTTAATTTGTACAACAGTAGAAGTCTCTTAGCATAAATGAGAAGGAGAAATGTAAAGGTGTCAGGAGACAAGAATGATTTATTGAACCTATATATACATCTTGCTGACCACTCCAATAATTATATTCCTTGAAAAAGGCCCCAAATTCACTTCCATTACCAAAGTTAAAGGACAATTGATGAGGGAAGTGCCAAAAACCATTTAAAAGCACTTTACTGACCATCTTCACTAAGCCAGGAAATGTGGTGGACTGGTCTCCTCTGATCTCAAGGAGGATGGAAGAATTCTAGGTTGGTAGAGGCCAGGTGGTAGCAGTTCCCCACCAACTACAAACTGGGAAGAGATACCAATAAGCAGCAGGGATGACATGAAATCAGAATGGTCTGATCTACAGAAATCTTAGGAAACAATTAACTGATCATGTACAGCCTGCCAAGTTCCCATTTAACTTTTATAACAGCAGAAAAAAAAATATCTCCATATCCAGTAAACCGAGGCTTGTTTTGACACAATGGATAATTTTTATCTCTTATGCAATTCCCATACATAAATCAATTCAGGGGTGACAGATCATTGAACAGCAACAACAACAACAACAATAACAAAAAATAGGGCCCTTAAGGAAAGAGCTAATAATAACAAGTCCAAACTATGAATCTTTCTCTTGGTCTTCTCCCAAAGATGTATGTTCCAGCAAATACCTAAACCTCTTGGGGACAATCACAAGGTTGCAACACTAACTCCTAGAGACCACAAAAGTCTTTGTGCTGTACTGGAGTGTAGGCTTGGCTTATGAAATGAATGATTCGGTGTCCAGAAAGAAAAACAGACCATTCTTGGGGCTGGGGTTGTGGCTCAGCGGTAGAGCACTCGTCTCTCACATGTGAGGCCCTGGGTTCGATCCCCAGCACCACATAAAAATAAATAAATAAAATAAAGATATTATGCCAATGTATATTTTAAAAAAAATCTAAAAAAAAAAAACCAGACCAAGTTCTAAATATTTCAGGCACAAATTACAAATTTATTTAATGCAAGAACTTGCTTACAAAGACATTGGCAATCCTGAAGGAGCTAAGGGTAAAATGTGACATGATCCAGAATCCAGCTTCCACCCTTGGGATGAAGCCTATAGAACCACTCTTGATACCACCCACTGCTGTCCGAGCTGGACACCAGTCAAAGCACAAAGTTTCTTCCTTCTTCCCGCCTTCAGATAAAACAAGTCCTTTTGATTGGCAGAACCTAACTGGGACCCAGCTATCAATGGATCTGGGAAGTATTATTTGCTAGTTTCTGTCTCTGATAGTAGAGGGGAGATCACAAAATGGCAAGTGAGAGGCTAAGTTACCAAGATACAAGGCATTCGGAGTCAGGTGACAAGTGGAATTTTGATCAAAATCCACTTGAGGTTGGATCTGGTTCCCAAATGCAAGAAGTGGTTTGGTCCTTATTTATGTAATGGAAAAAAAATATCTTAAACTACTGGCAGAATCCTATATTGGCTCCCAGACCATAGGTTAAAAACTATTGTTATAAGAGAAGCAAAGTAGGGGGGCCTGGTGGCACACAGCTATAACTCCAGTGGCTCAGGAGGCTGAGGCAGGAGGATTAAAAGTTCAAAGCCAACCTCAGCAAAAGCGAGGTGCTAAGCAACTAAGTCAGATCCTGTCTCTAAATGAAATGAAATACAAATAGGGCTGGAGATGTGGCTCAGTGGCCCAGTGCTCCTGAGTTCAATCCCTGGTACCTCTCCCCCCAAAAAAGAGAGAAGCAAAGTAGAATTCATTGAAGTTTTTCATTCCCACCAAAATGTCAATTAAATTTTAGAAATCCTGAAACATAGCAAAGATTAATGCCAACATCAGCTGGGCATGTTGGCACACATGCCTAAAATCCCAGTGGCTCTGGAGCCTGAGGCCAGAGGATCACAAGTTCAAAGTTCACCTCAGCAACTTAGCAAGGCCATAAGCAACTCAGCAAGATCCTGTCTCTAAATAAAATATAAAAAAAGGGTTGGGATATGGCTCAGTGGTTGAACACCCCTGAGTTCAATCCCTGGTACCAAAAAAAAAAAAAAAGATTAAAAAGTCTTTAATGCCAATATCAAAGACTTAAAACATAGAGGTGGTGAATTCTGTCACATCCATAATCAAGTCTTGGATTTGGACAGTGGAAAAAGACAGATGGTCCCGAAGAAGGCAGAGGAATATTAATCAAATCAAAGGTAATTGTAAAGTTAATCAAGTAGTGGCCCCAGTTGCAAATGGTATTATCGATGTGGTTTTTGGGTGGGAATAGCTCAGAAAACTTGATGAAGCAAATGGATTTTTCTCCATTATGACCTAGAATATAAGAAGCGATTCATTTCTAATTCGACCTCAAAACCATGCCAGCCCTTCTTCTCTGTGCTTTAATTTAGTCTTCAGGAATCTTGACTCTGCCACCATCTGTATCAGTGAGTTCAGGGCAGGAAACAGAAGCTGCTCTATGTATTTCTAGCAAACCTTGTGTGCCAGCAGTCATAGCTACAGAAAGGTGACATAAGCTGTTCCTCCAGATCTCTTGTGGGTGTGTCTACTTAAAGGAACATAATTCACTCTCAGAGCCACAGCTGCAAGGGAATCTGGAAAATACTGTTGGCTTCACAACTTTTTGGACAAGAGGGTGAAATAGAGGTCAAAAGTCAATCCAAAGGTACAACATAATAGATAGGAATAAGTTCTGGTGTTCTGTGGCATGGAAAGTTGAATACAGTTAACAATAATGTATTGTATATCTTTGTTGTGTTTATGTGGTCCTGGAGATTGAACCCAGAGCCTCAGATATTCCAGGCAAGTGCTCTACCACTGAGCTTCAACCCCAGGCCTTTTTGTTTTGAGACAGTCTCACTAAATTGCCCAGGTTGGCCTCAAACTTGACATCTTCCTGCCTCAGCCACCTGAGTATCTGAGTGTAGACAGCTGAGATTACAAGCATGCACCACCAGGTCTGGCCATTGTATATCTTAAAATAGCTGGTAGAGAGGATTTTGAATGTATTCACCATAAGGAAATGATAAAAGTTTAAGTTGATGGATATGCTACTTACCGTAATTTGATCATTATCCAGTGTATGCAGGATGAAGCAAAACATCACATGGTACCTCCTGAATATGTATAATTGTTATATTGTGTGTATAATTGTTACTGACTTGGTGTCACACCAATACTTGGTAGCAGATGGATTACATAGGACTGTGTTTCTTGAGAAAGAGGATCAATTTGTGTCATTGGAAGAGGCACTTACTCTAGGTTCAGGTTTGCTTTCCCTGCCTCTCATTTATCTCTGCAAGAACCTTCATATATGGACTTAGTCCACCATCTTAGTGTCCCACACTATACCATTTCTGACCATGGAATTCACTTCTTGAGAAAGAAAGTGAGTTAGTACAAAAAAAAAAAAAAAGATTAAAAAGTCTTTAATGCCAATATCAAAGACTTAAAACATAGAGGTGGTGAATTCTGTCACATCCATAATCAAGTCTTGGATTTGGACAGTGGAAAAGACAGATGTTCCCGAAGAAGGCAGAGGAATATTAATCCTCTTCATTGGTTTAGCTTGTGTTCTATCAACCAAGCTTCTAGAATGGTGGAGAGGCGTATTAAAGGCCCGGGTAAGGTACTGACTTACACTTAGTACAGAGGGTACCACAACACTGTGCGAGACTGAGTTGTCTACAAGAAGCAGTGTATGTTCTCATTCTCAGAGAGAATGAGGACAGACACATAGCTCGAAAACAAGCTGAATAAAGGATTCAATTATTTGGGAGTGATTCATGCCATTGAACAGAGAGGCAAAAAAAAAAAAAAAGAAATTAAGATATTTTTGAGAATTGTAAATTCAGATAATCAAGGGGAAACAGGTTGTTATGAAGGAGTGGAGGCAGGGAGGAATCGTGGTAGACTTTCCAGCATTCTGAAGGATTCTATTCCTACTGCAATAATCTGTGATCCAAGTTCACTGTGAGCCTACAGGTCTCTACAAGAGAATCCCTAGGGCTGGATCTCTGAGGGATGAGGGGTTGGGTCTGTCCCATGGGCAAAGAACTTGACCATCTGTTGCCACTGAGGGAGGATGGAATCTGGAATTACAGTGAAGAAGGGAAGTCATGAATGCAAATCAGCCTTAGAATGGATTGCAGAGGGAAGGATGACAGTCTCTACTTGAATTTCCTTTTTCCAAGTCTATATTTACATAATTTCCTCTTCTTCCTTCTCCCTTTCACCACTGTTGATTCCAGGTAGTTGTACGGGCAGATTACATTAGTTATGGGCTGCAGATTATTGAGAAAAGATGGAGAGAGAATAGGAGAAGTAGGTCGAGGCATTGCTGTCCCTTCCTTAGGGAGTAATTAAAAGTTTTTACTTACAGAAGTGATAGCTGCTTTATGCTAATTGAGAAGTAAGTCCAAGCTTGGGACATGGAGTGTGCATCATGCAGCAAGTGGGGTATATAAGATAGTTGATGTTTGGGCCATTGATAGTCAACCCACCTCCCTTTTGGGATAAATCTAACTGTTGTCTTGAAGGAAATTCCAGTTCTCTCCTCCTGCTGCTGTGGCTTCTACAGAAACATAGGGTGAGAGATCTCTCCTCCCCGCTCCCACATACAGCCAGAGAGCAGGCTAATGCCATGTGAGTCCCCAAAAACGGACACTTGAGGCAAGTGGGAAGACATTATTACAATAATGGCTTTACCCATGCAGAGAAAGAAAAGGGTGGCTTGTACCCCTGAGCCAGTCCACAGCACCAGCTTCTGAGAGTGTTGCTGACAGAGTCAACCCCCAGAGCCAGTCTTCAGCTGTTTTTGAAGCAGTATCCTTTGCTTTATGGGCCTCAATGATCTCCCTCCTGGTGGTTTAAGAGTTACACTCAGTGCCCACCCCACAAAGAAGGCTCACTTTTTGTGAGAACAATGTGATACATAAACATCTGGGAAGCTGGAAGAAACAGCTCCAAATCCCACTCCGTGTTAGGAGTACCACCAGGACCAGGGATGGGCTACTAAAAGTTTAACAACTGGCTTGGGAGGAGAATGGGACACGATTTATAGTTTTGTAGATTCAATGGCAATAAACACCTCAAAATAAATAGATGCTTTTCTTTCTCTCTCCTCTCCCTTTCTGCCACTATTGTCTCTAGATAGTTCTATAGAGAGATTAACTTCACCATTTAGCCATTGTTTGCAGACTCCATCAATTCTAAGCTACCAATGTGATGTCACTGAATTTGTGGGAAAAGATATAGCAAGCAGCAGGCCATTATATAATATTTCTACCATATAGAAAAAAAATGAATCTAAGTCACTTTAAGAGCACAGATGATAGTGAAGTATCTAAAAATAATTACAGGTTATAATCTCAGCTACTTGAGAGGTTAATCAGGAGGATCATGAGTTCAAGGCCAGACTGGGTGACATATCAGGACCCCCCCCCAACACACACTCAAATTTTAATAACTGTGTAGTGAGGAGTTTTGGGATTACTTAGCACCTCTGTTGATATAGTATTTATTAAGTATAAGTTTATATAATTTATTTTTAATAATGATTATATTCAACAATCAATTCATAAAAGTCCTCAAATGTTAATATCAGCTCTAGAAGGCTGAACTAGAATCATTCTGCTGGCTTTAGGCATTTCCTATGCTGCCTCTACCAACTTAGGCAGATCATTTGGCATCTGATTCCACAATATTCCATTCCTCCTGCCAGCTTTATGCTGAAATCTCCGTGGCAGAACCAGAGTAGTTTTGGCCTTAGAAACTTCTAGAAGGGGGGCTGGGGTGGTGGCACAGTGGTAGAGTGCTTGCCTAGCCTGTGTAAGGCACTGGGTTCAATTCTCAGCACCACATATACATAAATAAAATAAAGGCC